ATAAATTGCTTCTTCTATAAGACAATGTGATAAAAATTAATTTTGAAAGATAACAATAAAGGCATAAAGTAGCGTGATAGAAAAGAATATTATTCTACCGGTGTATATATCATACATAATAAGATAAGCCTATTATTTCATATGAAGTTACTGATAACTGGATTTATGTATGAGTTATATAATAATCATATGCGTTTACGCATATGTAATTATATATATATCCTGTGAATAACCTAGTTATCTTTCATATCATATGGAATAAAAAAATATATTTTTTACAATAATGATAATATCCAATCAATATGAAATTAAAATAGATGTGAAAAATAATTTGATATACTAGATTCATATGAGGTGTATTATTTTTATGTGTAATGTTTATTACATATAAAAATTTTATTCAAAATATAATTACAGTTTATCTACATTTTATAAATCTTTATTTCTGATTTATATCTTTATCACATAATCATTAATATAATATACTATATATATAAATAGTTTAATTTGATAGAAACTATTTTAAATTCTCTTTAATAAGTTAGTTAAATAATAAAAATGGATAATGCATGGCAAAATAAAAAGTATAATTTAAATTAGATCTATAACAATGCTAAAAACAAATATGTATTTGGAAAGATATTAATAAAAGAGGTGTATATTAATAATATTGCTAATAATGATAAAGATTGCTAAAAATATATTAATATTGTGATTTATAAATACAAGCAAAATGTTATATTATATAAGACTGATAAAATAGAATTTAGTTAATACTTACAAGCTTATTTTTGTAGTGATTTCTTAATGAATCTATATTATTGTTAATATTTTACAATCAAATAAACAGGTTATAAATGCTTTTCTTTTCTTCTTTCTATTAATTTTACATTAGTTGAAGCCTTAACTTTCCACAGGTACTTAAGAAATCACTATCCTCTTTATTTCATCTTGAATTCATCTAGTATAAGAGCTGAACCAAGACACCATTTATTGTTCAATTTCAGATGAATTATTTCTTCAGCTTAAAGTATTATTAAATTACTAAATTGAATATTTTTTTTCAAATTAGATAAATGTCTATACATATATTTCCTACAACAACACTTTCAAGTCGACCTTTATATACAGACTTAAGGGACCAATTTATTCTTTGATTTAAGAAAAGAATTTTGGAATCATATGCCTTTAAAATATTTCGAAAAGTTTAAATATATCAATTTATTAAAGTTTTCAGCTACTTTATATCTATTCCAAACTTTATTTAATGAACTTTTTTTAGATGGAAATGGTATAAACTTTTTGACTTGACTATTATTTTTATAATGAAATTAAATTGACCATTTATTTAACAAAAACAAAGAGTTAACGTTTAACGTAAAAATTTTTTTTATGTATTTTAATTGTGAAATCGGTATTTTTAGTCAAATTCGTCGATACAATACATTACATTTAAATAGATAGAAAAATCTCATAAATGGTAATGTAAATAGGGCTGTATAATTATTGTTGTTGGCGGAAATTGTGTGTGGTGTCATTAATAAATATTAATTTTAATGTAATTTTTTTATATACAATTTATTCAACATAAACAAGAGGAACGTATAGAAATATACAGATACGTATATAAATGTCTAGAAAGTGTCAATAAAAATATCATCATTACTTGCTCAATCTGAGTAATAAGAATAATTTTCAATATTAATTAATTAAATGGTATGTATGTAGGCTTGTTGTTTCTAGTGCTATCCAGAACCACATTTTGCTAAAGCCGAATTTTGATCAATGGAAGAGATTTTTTGACGCATCTCTGAATTACAAAAAAAATAATAAACCACCTATTGTCAACGCACGATCTTAAAAGTTTGTAGATCAAAAAAAATTCACCATTTAGATTTATATAAATGCACAAATTATTCAATAAATTGATACATAAATGCGCGAGACATTAAAAGTATTTATGTAAATGTTCAAGAAATTACATTAGCTTACTTATTTTATTAAATTATGTAAACTGTAGAAAAAGTTTTTGAAGCTAAATAAATTATTTATCGAATTGCTGATTGAAAGTTCGAATTTAACAAATTTATTCCTTTTAAAGAACTAAAAACCGTGATAATATTTATACTATAAAAATCTCTGCTTTATTTTATTTGTTATGGAAGCATGTATAGTTTTATCCTGAAGATACATACGAAAAACAAAATCTAATGTTATTGATGAGCTAATAAAATTTGGTTCAAAAATTTTTTTTTTTTAAAAAAAATAATAAATAAATAACAAAAGTATTTGCTATAACAAATTTATATTCATTATTTTGATATATCTAAGTGATGGTAAATCACAAGGTCATTTACTATTTTTGATTTATTTTAAATGAACTTGTTATTCCGACTTGATATTTTTCCTAATCGAAGCTAGAGATTAGCGCTCAACGATTTCCGATGTATAACAACAAATAACTACATATGTAAAGACTTTTAATCTTAATGATAATTTAGGTTTTTTTTTATAATTGTTAAGTCTTTTAAGTCTTTCTTGAATTTAGGTTTCTTCCTAACGATGTATAAATTAATGTGTTGTATAGAAAGGAAGGATTTTATATTTAAATTATGGTAGTTATATAGTATTTTAATAATTTTGAAAGCGTATTTTATAATTTGTTTATACAAATTTCATTTTATATTTGGAGACATTTATTTGCGTTAGATTTATACAAAACCTTTATAGGTCTCAAAGTATCGTAAATATCATTTTTTTTTTATATAGTAACATTTATTTCGAATTACAAGATTAAATATGTATTATTATGAATTATAATTAATTAATATGTTTCTAATTTTTGTTTCGTAATTTTCTCTATAAATTTATTATTTTATGTTTATGACAATAAATTTGAAAGATAAAATTTGAACAAGAACTATATATCCCGAAAAATCTTTCATATTTGGAATATAAAAAAAATATAAAATAATTAGTTCGGAACAAAATGTCAGAAAAAAACGAAACTATTGAATATTCAAAATACAAAACCATTCCTTCCTGCAAGTTCGTAAATGTTCGTAAATGGAATCGTATATATGTTTTGAAAATTTTCATTTATATCGTATGCACTGCTTCAATAAAAATTACTTTGTCATTGCTTTTTAAACATCACATAAATATAAACTACTTTGAACGACTTGAAAATAACGATTCTTTTTCATTGTTATGAGGCAAAGTAAATCAATCACAGTTGTTGAAATGACGCTTCATTTAACGTGAGTAATTCAAAACACTAACGTGATATGCATAAACCTAGAGTTTTAAATTAATAAACAATTCAGAAATTCTTTTTTTAAATGGAAAAAATAATTCTCACAAAAAATAATATTGCTTATAAGAATAATGTACAATATGTATATGCGGCGTGGTGAGGCACAATGTGCAGATTAGCGGTGCAAGTTATTACATAAGTTCGTTACTGCACGGCCTTAGTATCCTTCTGATTTTCTTTTTTCACAATACCTTTCCTTTACCATCAAATATCCGCGAACATTGTTGATGTACAATTTCACAAACTCGTCCATTTTTTACAATACGTTAGATGATCAAAGTTTATTAAGAAATCCAAGGTTTTAAGTTCAAGAAAACAAAGATTTATGACAAGAAAACGATGATCAAGAATTCAAAACAATTTTTTATGAAGGTAAATAAATTTCTGTTCTGGTGGAATCACACGGTAGATATTATGTACAGGGACCACAAAAATTTTTCAGTGATATTAGAACTCCTGTTACTATATATTTCGTGATCATCTTACGAACTATCAGGATCATCTTTCAGGATATGAGACGTTCGGGATCATGATCCTGAATTTTTTGGGATCTCAAACCATTCGGAAAATAGAATATGTATTGAAAGCATTGCCTGTCTGCATAGTTGAAATGTAAAATGGTCTTGTTTATTTAATAATCGTATTTATAAACTATCAATTTACCAAATCTGTTCATGTGACAAACTGAAAGTACCGGACCGGATGGGGAGAAATCCTTTTGTTTTACTACGTTTCGGTTCGGGCATTTCGGTAGTTACAAATCATTTGTTTATTTTTTAGTTTCGTTTAATTTTTTATTTAATTTTTTTTTACACTTTCGGGTTCTATCGCTACGTGCCGCAGCGAGGAACTATTTTTATTTTTTTATTTAAATTTTTAAATTTTACTTTCAGGTATGGCTCATCAAATTCTTTATTTTTTCCTTTTAATTTATTATTTCTTTTTCGAGTTATAGCGATAGGTAAGGTTTTATCTTTCCTTTAATTTGATCATATTATTATTTTTTATATTCAATTGTGCAAGCATTCCTTTTTTCGTATTTTTTTACTTCATAGATTCCTTAATATTTTTTTCGAATTTTAATAAATATTTTTTCCTTGAAATAAATAAAATAAATTGTCGAAAACTGTGACAGTACAGCTCCATTGCTCAACTAAATGCATCTGACAAGTGCTGGGTATAATAAAAGTCTACCAAAAACCACGCCAATGTTTACAAGGAAAAGCAGGTTGAATGTCCATGAATTTATTTACAGATAAAACAGCTTTTCAATTCAGAAACACAATTCAACGTTGGTATAAAGATGTATCGAACAAAAATCTTTGCGTAGGAAGGATTTTGTGCAAAAGGAACTACATTTTTATTTTGGTTTCAAACTATAATGACTGGTTATTTTTATGTGGAAATACTACAGAACCATATTCCAGAAGCTAGGCGAGGCGTATGCCAAAAATAAGAATTAAGTTTCCGAGTTCAATAGTTTGATTTTTTTAAATTAAAATAAAAAAAGAAAATGTGCAACTGATCTATTTGGCGATAAAAAAATCTTTATTTAGTTAATTTAATAAATGAAAAATTATGTGTTTTTTTACTTAATAATAAAATGCCTTCTCGACTATAGAAATATTACTAGAGCAAATACAACTACTTCTGTAGAATTCCTCCAAAAATAATCATTTATTTATTATTCCCAGAAACATTTATCGGCAACTATCTCCCATTTAAAATTAAGTACAGTATTAATACCACGTATATGAAAATGTATATCGTTACAATATATTCCTCCTACATAGTCATCCCACCAAAGAATTGAATCTTCATGAAACGTGCCAGAATCTGAATGAATAGAGAGTTTGTATCCTACTGACCAATCCGGAGATGTATATGATGTTGGGCTTCGAGTTTCTATGTTGCAATCAGTCCATTTCTCATTTTGAGTATAATCGTACCAATGAATGCATATTTCTTTTATAGTTCGAAATCCTCGTGGATTAAACGCTACTCTATGTACGGGATATGTACGAAACGATTCTTCTTGTATAGGATATGGATGGGAGGAAGTATTGATAACAGATAATAAAATTATCAATAATCCTAAATTTTGTAATTTACGTACAAACATCGTAATTAATAAATATTACTTTTTATAAGTAAATTAATATTTTACATACGACTCCAGAATAAAATTGACATATATATAAAAAAATTGTAATTATAGTCATGTGACATGGTTGATCATAATGAACCCAATGCGAAATGATTATTTCAGATATCCAAATCGGAATGCGCATTTGGGATATCCCAAATGTGAAGATCGTTTCAGACATATGCTTGCCCAAATGCGAATTTATTCTAAATGAACACTTCGGATAATATCAAATTACTACTTCAGACATTCACGAATTGTAATTTCGGACAAATAAACTCCTCGAACCATTTTGAATGACTACAGACACATGGGAAATTAACATTATATGTCCAAATGTTGATTTACTAATTAGATGCCCAAAGTTTGTCATTAAAAATGGTTTTTATGGTTACACACCCATAAAATATTTATATTGAGAATCCATATTAATAATTAATTTGGTCGAAGTGATTTTTTGGGCGAAGTGGTGGTCATTATCCGAAGTGAGCATTGGGATAAATGCACAAATGCATGTCCGAAACGTTGGGATATCCCAAATGCTAATTTCGGACATTAACGCATGTCGGTACAACAAACCAAATTGACACTGGCACTACGATACCATACTTAAAAAAGATTTTTTTTCGGAAATAATTTAAAATGTATATTTCCGATCAACAAAGGCAACGTTTATTTCTATAAACTGTAAAAGAATAAAGTCAAAATGCATGTAGGCATATGCGACTCTTTTTTCTCGAATTCGAAAAAAAGGTTAATAATGATAGATAGTTGACTTCTGAGTCTCCTGAAAAAAATTATTTTGAGGGTGATCCCCGTTAGGTAATATATGTTGTGGCATAAATATAGCTTATAAAATTTGTATACTATTTTTTCAAATTATCGTTAATTTATTTTAACTGCTCCATAATTGTTGTTGATCACCACACAATATGATTGGCACCCATATTAACAAGATTGTCATTATTTTTGAAAGCCCCATAATAAGTCGATCGCCATAATTCACAGTAATAATTTAAATTGATTTCTTAGTTTTATAAAGTAAACTTTAACTGGTTAGGTAAACCAATTACAAGCAAATAGTATTAGATCCCTAATTTACCAAAAGCAATGAGAACGTGAAAATTAAGGGGTAAAGGTACATATTTTTTTTAATTTTAATAAATTTATATATGTAATAATTTAATCGTTTAAATGAATATTTTATTAAAGAAAATGCTGAACTAAATTTGGCAATCGCAAGCTACAATAAATCAACGAGAACTACTACAATTGATCAACTATAGTTGCCTGACAAAACTCCTGGGTTTAGACAGACCGTCGAATGTCGAAAGTGTCAAAACAATAATAAAATTATATAAACTAACCTGTCGAAACTTGTCAAAACCCGTCGAAACCTGACAATCTATATCAAACAGTCGAAACTATATTATGGACTTATTAAAAACCTGTCGAAACTAGAGGTTTAGACGTTTCGACAAATCCAAAATAGGTTTCGTCAGGCAACTATATGATCAACAAGCCTTTACTGAATATCAGCAATAGTATTATCCTCATACAGAACGTAACAAAATAACAAAATCATTTTGAAAAACAAGTTCAAAATATACAAGAAATTTTCAAATACAAGGGTCTTAAATTCAAAGTTTGTCAAACCACCACAACAAAGCCAAATCTTCCTTTGCAGCTACTGCATATAAGCATAAAGCACCATTACCATTAAAACCAAAATTGCGATTCATTGAGCCTATTTCCTCAGAAGATGAATCTTCAGATGATTTGATGAAAAACATTTCCTCAATTGATTTAAATAACAACATATTTTCATCAAAATCATTTGAAAAAAAGTTCTTTAGCTTGCTTTACCATATACAGTTTCTAATACACCTAATATTTCTCATCCAATTACTCAACCAAGCTTGGCAACCAAAATTGACACATCAACATTTACACAAAATAAATTTATTTTTCAAGATGACTTATCTTATTCAATGACTAAAGATGCGTAAAGATCTTATATTACAAGCATTAAGTTCAATATTTTCCTTGTCTGTTATACCAAACCAGCCCATTTTATCAGATCAATTAGCTAAAATATTTATAATTACCAACCAAAGAACTCGTATATCATTAATTAAAAGTGTTATTCCTAATATGGTATGGTTTAAACACATATTAAATAAAGTATTCGTAGATATAAAGATAAATTGGAAAAAAAAAGTAATTGGTAATTATTTATTTTTATTATTAATCTAATATTTAAATTAAAATTAATTATAGTAATCCTTCTAATATTGTTGATGAAAAATTTGTTGCTGAAACTTTATGAGAAAAACTCTTAAAAAGCATATTTGATATACTTGATGATACGTGCATATTTGTGTGGAACTTTTCTTTCAAATGAGAATATCAATATAACAAAGTTGCCTTGTAGTCATATGTTTGACAAAGATTGTATTTTACCATGTTTAAGATTAATTTTGACATAACAACATGCAATTAGAAAAAATTTAACGAGAATTCTTTTCTTTTTCTTTAGCATAACACATGTCCAAATAGTAGGTTAGAAAAACAAAAAATTGAAGATTCAGAAGAGGAAGACCCAAATAGGATGTTAATATTTAAAGTTATTTTTATATAATCTTGGCTTTCCCTTTTGTTTAAGCACTCCCACTAACACACCTCCAGTGTAATTATAAATCTAAAATAATGATACAACTACAATCTTTAAAAATAATAAAATTAAATAAAATGCTATTATCATTAATTATGTTTTCTAATTCAAAAAAGGAGAGATTAAAAGATTTACCCAGCCAAACAATCTGGAAGTGTGATACCAGGTTTAAAAAATCTATCGTTATAGAAAATACCACAACTTCCTTCTAATTTGGTCCAAGTTCTTTCTTCCAAGGAGTATCAAAAGTTTCAAAATAATAATATTTGTATTTAATTTATTAGCATCGCAAATAAAAGTATTTAAGAAAGTTTGTAAATTAGGTATGGAGGTAACAGCGGCACTTTCAGAAGCGCCAGCGGTTGGCCATCCTACTTCGGGTATAATGGCAGATTTGGCAGGTTTCACATCATTTTCATCGAAAAATTCAAATGTCCATTGACAGCTTGTTCAAAGGTACGATGAACTGGTGCCACATGATATCATTTGCACGGCATCAACGTTTGAACCTAAATCCAATGTATATACGGGAACCTTTTTTTTTAAATCCCATTGAATTTCTTGTCGTACATCAGCTATTCTTCCGAATAATTCTTCAGGTGAGACCTCTTTACGAAAGAAAACTTCGTTACCCAATGATACCCCATCTATATTATCTACCTCATATTTTTTTACCATATAAATAAAAGTGTCATGTTGACGTTGATAAGGTTCATCATTATCATCAACCCAAATGGTGGGGACGATGGTCATGTCTAATGACAGTCCATACCATATAATCTGATCTTACCTAAGAGCATTCGTGCACCAAGGAAATGTCGCATTGACAGGACCGTAATTTATATCGTAAAAAATCTTTTTAAACGATGGATTTTGTGTGCTTATCTTCTTTAAAGAAATTCTTATACTAAAAATTGGAAATATATTTTAAGATAAGAAAGTCAACACCGTTGATATTATTTTCTTGATTATTTCGATATCATCATTCGTAGGTTTAAATTATCTCGGACTCTAAGGAGCCAACAATTTGCGAAGGCCCCATTTATTGATTTCTTTGCTTTAATTAAGACAAATTGGTTAACCAATTCTTTTTCGTTTGATTACAAAATGCACAAAACGTATCTGAGACTTAAATACGTTTTTAAAATGCAGAACAACATGGCGAAGGATAATTCTGGAAGTGAAAATTCAAATATAAGTAAAAATGTTAAAGGTTAAGGAAAGAACGTAATCCTCTTTCAAGATGAGAAATTGTGATGATCAAATAATTAGTATTTGAGTTTCATTACATATCTATTTTTATAGGTTTTAATTCTAATTGTTGTATTATGTTACACCAAGTAATTTGTTCATTTCATAACAGTGTCATTCAATATTCAGAATCACCTGATTAACATTACATTCGCATCGCGTCACTTCAATTAAACAAACTTTCTCAAACCTACATATAAATATTCCTCACTCACCTTTTTTTTCCATTTCTCCATCTTTCTTCACCTATCTTCTCTAAATATATTATTTCTCATAATTTTTTTTTCTCCACCTCTTTTTCCTCACTTAACTTACTACCTATCTAATATTTATTATATTTTTATCTTCTTTTCTACTTGGTCTTTTCTTACAACTATTTTTTTTTCACCTAACCTCTCGCGAAAATCAATAGATGTCTGGTATGTTTGTGTAGATTAGACTTTTGTTCAACTTAAAGGTGGAAGCTATAAACCTTGCTTGACTTTCTGTTTAGAAACTTCTTTGTCTAATCTTTATTGTCTTCTTGCTCATTTCGTTATCATTATCGTTATCGTTATCGTCTTCTTCTTGTTAATTTCATTATCGTTATCATTATCGTTATCATTATCGACTTATTTTTAATTTTCATTATCGTTATCGTCTTTATCATCTTTTAGCACAAGCATACTAATATATTATTTTAACTTCAATTTTTATTGTATAAAAGATAACAGTTGCGGTGGTTATGGAAAAGATAATCAAAGCTTTATTTCTGTGGCAAAAAATTGAGTTTTGGTTAAGAACAATAAATTCTCTGCTGTTTGTATACGTTAATAGAGGGTATGTAAAATCAGATAGTTTATATCTTTGTTTTCTTTGATTAATTGAATTTTAATTTCAGGAATAGAGTCGTACATTGCAGTATATATGAAGAAACATGCTATTTTTTTCATAAAATGAAAGATACGAAGTTTTCAGGACCATATTACAACCATAAAATTTTCGGCAGCTAGACTATTACAAACCAAAAAAACCTATAAAATATAAAGAGGTCAGTTTTACTATTTTATAGTTTATTATAATTTCTTTTATTTATTAACTTCCTGTATTTATTTCTATTCAACATTTAGATTATAATTCCTTCTACCTCAACCTTAACCTCAAGAGATAGTAAACATCAATAGATGGTAAACAAATAAATATTTCACCAGAGGTAATTAAAGATGGTCAGTCGGTCTTTCAGTCCTAAACGGTCTTGCCCGGTCTTTGAAAAAGTTATAAGGAATGCATTCTTGAAATTTTGAGGCGCAGCAAGTATGGCTAAAGACCAATAAATGTCAAAATTTGGCCTTTATACTTTTTTTTTTAAGACCACAGAGGCGAAATTGGTAAAGACCGAAAAAATCAAAAAAATACTGGTTTTGGTAAAATAAATACCTACCTAGCTCTAAATTGGGTGATTAGATTGAGACCAAACTTTACCACTTTTCGGTCTTTAATCAGTTCTATTGTGCTACAAAAAATTCGGAGCACAGCCTTATTACTTTTCCAAAAATCTCCTAAAGACCGATCAAGACCGATCAAAGACGGCAGGACCGACTGATCATCTCTAGAGTAATAGAACTAACATTTGATGATGCGGATGCGATATCTACTGTTGGTACTCTAAATAAAAAGGTAATAGATGCTTATTTATTGCTGATGATTTATTTATTTTAATGATACTGATATAAATTTCTTTTTCTGTCTGAAAATAAAAATCAAAAGTCCGATGTTAATTGTTTTGAATGTACCAATTTAAGAACTCAGATCGAATCATTAAAAAAAATCATCAGTTTACAAGATGAAAGATTATTGAAGGAGTAAAATTTTTACCTAAAATATCGAATATAAATTTGATTTTATAATACCTATATAATTCTTTATAATATATTTTAAAGTCTAAGTTTGCAGACATTATTTTCTGAATTCTTTGTAATAATGTTGATATCCTTTTAATCAAAGATTTTTAAAATCACGTTGTTACTTATACTTTAATTTCTCATTAATATATATATATATATCTTTGATTCACCTTCTTTATTTTTTATTTGTTGCTAAAAAAAATTAATAAGCTTCTGCTTTGTTACACAATACACAAGTATATTCAATTAATTATATTTGAAAAATTGTACTAAACAATATGAAGTATAATAAAGTTAAAATACAATGTAAAAAAAAAAATTTACCTTAAAAGTTCGCAATATATAGTTTCATTCATAAAATTGCACTCGTAATTTCGTGGGCAAATTCCAATTGTAGTTCCTATTTAAAAGTAAGGCCGTTATCTCGATATTTTTTTAATGTTCTCATCATCCGCATATTCAAGAATAGCGCATAATATATTTCATCTAAAAACAAAATAATAAAGATGTGAACAAAATTTTGGAGATCGCCTTATATAATGTAATTCAGTCGTATTATGATTGGTGAATATCGATAAAAATTTAGGCGAGGTCCACATGTATCACTATCTTGACTAATAATCATAATTACGTTAAAATTTCCAAACGAAGAAAATATTTTTCAAGATCCAATCTATTCTCAATTCCTAAACAAATAAACATTTGGTTATCTGAATCCCGTGTAACGCCATTATCTACGTCAGATAATAGTCTGAATTATTCGAATTGTCTTTGGTGATAGCTACGAAACCTCGACGACGGATATTATCACCATTAATATCATTGTTATATCATAATCATGAACAAAGTCAAGACCAGATGCATGGTTATTAGGTAGTTTATAAAATTCATGAAATTACTCATCAATTTCAATGTTTCCAAATCGTTCCGATTCACAAACAGTGAAAACTTAGCAATAAAAACCAATATCTGAATAGGAGTTATTCTTTGTAAAAATAAAAAGAAACCATTTATTCTCTATATTTACAAAATAAGTAATCTAATTCTTATGATTCCGTCAAAAATCGACGGGACCGAGAGTCATCGAGATCTTTCTAACAAGTTCAACGAATCAGCAAGAATCCACGATATCATTTTTTCCTAGATGATATATGACCCTTTACTATAGGAATATAATGCACTTAGATTATATTCGCGTAAACTGTTCAGACATTTGGGAGGTTTGCTAGGAAAATGGGGTTATGACCATTTTTTATTAAAATTTTAATTTTTTTTGCATTTTAATTTTTGATAATGTTAGATTAAAATGCAATAAAAATTAAAAATTAAAATTTTAATAAAAAATGCTCAGAGTCCCATTTTCCTAGCAAACCTTCCATTTTTATTATTATTTTTTTAGAATAAGTAATAGGTAACCTTTTATAAGAAAGTCACTGATTTAGTCACTGCATGTAGTTCTTTTTTTTATAATAAAATTCTGTATAGATCAAGTAATTGGTAAAATTTTATTTAAAAGTTCATTAGATAATTTTATGTGAAATCACAATTTATTCATCCGGATAAATTCGATAAATTGTATCAATTGATTACATGATTAACTATTACTTATCGTTATCGACTTAATTATAAAATAATTTAAAATTTTACCCATCCTTACAATTTACAACGATCTATGTTATAGAGCTTATGGATTGCGAAATGAACAATTTTTTGTTACTTTGTCCCGCTTGTTTTTTTGCATAGTCATTAGACATTTATGTAAGTGCGAACTTTTTTTTATAGACATTATTGTTATAACACTTTGTATCACTTTAACTGTTACGGAAATGATTAATTAGTAAATATATTACTTAATTTATTGTGACAAATTTACAAGATAAACGATGAAATTGGATTTAGAATACTTTCATTTGTATCAATTTTTTTTTATCTCTGTCAAATTATTTAAATTGTAAAAATGGTATAATTATAGAATTTTATAGAAATCTCGTTTATTATCAGGTCCTCCTCTTTTTCCTCTTTTGATTAAAGCTATTTTTTTTTGAGGAAATTAACTGTTGATGGTGCATCATTATAAAAGGCATGAATTAATCGTGCATTGTTCTCAATTTATCAATATCCACGCAATTATCATACGTGTTCTAAAATCTTATACATTCTCTCTTTATTTTTTCTTTTTTATCTAATTATCTAATGAACATAAAATACAAAAATATGCCAGATAGAATTCACAAAGATAAACTTAAACCGGTAAAATTTATTTTCTTTGGTTGATGGACGCGTAAATTATAAAAAAGTCCTTTTAATTCTTTGCTGTTCAATATCTTGGAAATATAATGAAATGTTTATATTACGTTTTAGTGTTGAAGATCTATGATTTCTATTTTCTGAAGGTGGAATTGAAAAGTTACCATTATGACGTTGTCTATGAGTAATAGTACTATATGTACGTTGTGATTGTGATGAATATAATGGAGTTACTTGTGTAGGTCTAAAATTGGCAATAATCTCAGCTCTTGGATTAGCATATATTGTTGAGGTTATGTAGTTGTCGAAGTGATTGGATTAATGTTAAATTCAAAATTGCTTAATAAATAGGATCAATATTAGAAGTTGTTTTAGTTATTTCCCAACTAAAACCTTCATAATGGTTACAAGCAATGCATCTAAATTTTGTTTTTAAATCTTTGACAACCGCATGATCCATATGGAAATTCCGAAGTATCTATAATTGATGATGAATCATGAATCCAAATACTGAAGTTGCAGAAAAAACATTCGTCATTTTATAATCTCTTTTGGTTGATATCGTTGACAACCCATGAATGTTTTTTACATTTGTTATATGTTGATGCCTACTGATCGAGAAAGAAAATTAAGTTTTTAAAAATTTTGATCAAAGCAGCGATGATCAAAAAAAATTTTTTTATTTATTATTTTAACATTTTTTGTAATATCAACAACTAATGATTTTATAGATGTGATATGACCCTCGTGAAGTTTAGAAATTATTGGATTAATTTATTATTTGACCTAGATCCAGGGGGAAATCCGGGATCGAAATGCAAAAAAATGAATTCTTACCCCGGATGTTGAGGGATTATCCGTGGTTTTAACAAAAAAAAATCCGGGGTATCCCGGACTTTTGAACAGGACGGCGCCTCAAAGAAGGTATTCATGAGTGACACATACACGACAGGGGATTAACACATTTATTTTATTTTTTAGATCGTCTCCGACAAGCTTATAGAAGTTTGCGTGTATATCGACGTCAAAACGAAAACCGTACTAGGAGACATCGTTCCCACAGCAAGAAGTAATGTTAGACGTAGTTCACACACCAGAAGCCATGTTAGAAATAATTCGCGTAGCAAAAGCAATGGGGACGTCGATCAGACTGCAGAAGACCTCGTTCGCGTTCATGTTCTCACAGTCGAGATCGTAGGAGAAACTATCGATCCTCGTACCGAAGAGAATGGGTTTATTTTTATTCCCTCTAGTTTTTTAGCCGATTAAAAACAATTAAAGTAAAAATTCAATCTCTTTAATGTAAAAGTAAAAAAACTTTTGCTAGGGATATTTATCGATTAATTTGTTATTTGCATGATAAATTCAATTGGCTTAAAATAATTATACAAGTTTTATGAAAATTCGAGAGATTTTTGGAAAATTATGGTATAGATCTAAAACTAGCATTATTTGAATTCAAAATCCATACGCAAATGCAAATTTTTTGTTTTTGCATTTATGATTTACTTATTTTTTAAATAAGATATTAAAATGGAGTGATTAATAAATAAATATGCTTAAAAATTTAAATTTACCATTCGTTATGAAAAAAATATCTTTGCGTAAAATTTATTTTTCTTTTCGCGTTTCATTAACTCCATTTTTTTACAATGCCTTGCATTAAAAACATAACAAATAAGTTTAATTCTAATTACATAACGGAACGGGTAAAAAAAAAGATCAACGAATCGGTGGCGACAATGGAACATATCAATTTTAACGATGCATTTCTGTTTAACATTACAACATTTTTTTTTTTTATAATTCAACTAGATAAAATTTTTCAATTTATTAATATCAAGTATGAAAAAAGATTCAAATTAAAGATATATACATTAAAAAAAAACTAACAAAAAGTTTTACGATTATGATTAAAAAAAAAACGAAAAATTATTAAAATATGTACAGAAAAGATAAAGAACTCATAATAACATTCGTACAAATTTGTACAAATAAAATATGCACCTAAATGCATGAGAACATATTTTTATGGTACATTGGGCTTATTATCCCATTAATATTTCTCATAGTAGTCTTTCTTTTTGTAGTAGTCCTTTTTGTAGTCATCGTCATAGTAGTCCTTTTTCTTGTAATAGTCGTGACGTTTGTAGTGTTCTTGAGAATAAATAAAGTTAGCATATAAATATATCACACAAATCAATTTTTGTGGTTGGTAACTTACTACTCTTGTATTTGTAATCTTCATAATCATCATCGTAGTAGTCCTTTTTCTTGTAATAGTCGTGACGTTTGTAATGTTCTTGAGAAAAAAAATGTCAGCATTTAAATATTTCAAACAAATCAATTTTTGTGGTTGATAACTTACTTTTTTTATTATAATCATCTTCGTAGTAATCATCGTCGTAGTAGTCATGGGGTGAACGCTTGTCTACACTTTCTTCATTGGCAGGTTTTTTGTCTGCTACGAGTGCAAAAGCAACTGCAGCGAATAAGGAAAAAAGGAAGAGTACGATGGCGACTTTCATTTTTGATTTCTTTCTTTGTATTTATGATTTATATTTGAAAGAAGTGAAGAACATTCTTCAGAGGAAATAATGTGGTGTTTATATACTTGTCTCGAACTTAAGGAACTTGTGATTTTCTTTATGGTATAATTTCGTTATGGTAATAATATTGATATCGTAAAGTTATTGACAAAGCCTCAAATTACAGAAAGACTATAATTATTTTTCGATTAATAGAGTCTTTCACATGAGCCTTAATTATTATCACAAAAAAAGGCTTGGCTAAAAGATAATAACGATTGATCGATCATTGTCGGGTAAAAAAAAAATTATCTATTTCAAAATATAGTTTGCATTTTAGAATACCGTGAGGCTTCGCACTATAATCTCATTTGTAAAATGAATTAGTTCCTGAAAATCTGGAAATTATCGGCTAAAGTTTTTAAAAACCAAAAAAAAAAAAAAAAATATAATTAATGTAATTAATTTCCCTTCTTTGCTTGCGTTGAGGCTTCAGATTTTGCAATATCCCACCTTTAAAATGGAATAAATAAACGAATTGATTCCTGAAAAACACGTGTGGCTTTGATCTGACGGCTGGGTCCCGATTTGATGATTTACATACAAATTTAAAAAAGTTTTCCCATTTCTATCAGATTATCCCAAGCAGAGCACAATAACTCGTCGAGACTTAATTATGATGACATATTTTTATTTGTAAAATTTCAATTTAACTTAACTAAAAACTTGAAACGGATAAGTTTTAATGTTTAAATATCATTTGGAAGAGGTTTGGTCCGACGTATTTATAATTAAAGGAAATATAATATTTTGATATCCTTTTAATTTTCTATTACTACTAGACAATATATTTTTAAATACAATATATTATATATTGAATTTCTTTATACAATATATGATTTATTTTAATTGAGAAAAATAAAGAGAAAGTCTTTTCTATTAAATTATCGATTAACAATAGCAGTCGAAAATAATAAGAATTAACCGTCTATAATTTAATCGACGCTACGACAAGCTATAAAACAACTAACTATTTTTAATTATAGTTTAGTATTGCATAAGGACGATCATGTCATTAATTCGGCCTTTGACTAATGACTGTTTTACTAACCGGTTTTAACTGATCAGTTGAACGACCGGTTAATAGCAACATATTTAATTGGTTTTCCTTTAACTATTCTTAGAGCATTTTTATTTTATACTTTCTCTTATAAAGAACAATTAGTGCCGCAGCATTATCGCGGGACTTCAAATTTTATAAATTAAAAATTAAATAAATGTTAATTCACATCATGTAACTAGAAATTGCGAATAGTAGGGGACTTTGTCCCAATGCAACTTATTGATCTACTACATTTTTGCAGTGCGTTTTGAAAGTATCTTTTATTATAATAAATAATTACTTGAAATATATATATAAATTGTTAGTTTTTATATAAAATTACCTGATCTTAGGTTACACATAATATGTCAATCACGTGATAATATTAATCACGTGATAATCATTTGATAAAGTGGCTTAGCAAAATTTATAAAGTCGCATACATTTAAGTAGCATACACATAAAATTTACTCATTCTCCATCCAAATTACAAGCACTTAGTTCAAGTTCCATTTCATCATATGACCTCTATTGTTGAGTTGGAAGAAGAGAAAAATCGATGAAAGATGAGTTTTGTTGTTTCTTGGGCTGAACTCAAGTAGTAGGATGCATTAATCATTTATGGTTTGCTAAAAATGTGAGAGTAGGAAAATATTTTTGACAAATAGGGCAGCAAAGTCGTAAGTATGTATTCTTTTCAATAGATACACAATGGGCATCATAACCTGGTATTTTCAAGAGATCTCCATACTGAAAAAGATGAATCGGGTTTGTAAATCAGCTATCTTTGGCTTTGGTAATTAGTGGTAAAAAGTCTTTATTTAGATGAAGAAAGTCCATGGCTTCTTTGGCTCTGAGTGGTCCACAACAGCTGGTATTTGTGCATCATTTTATATCAAGTGAATAGATGCATAAATTACAGTAAATTTTGATCCAAGACTATGGTACAAAACATTCAGAATGGGTATGTGTTGTTTCATATGATTTTTGTTTTTCCTTTTTTCTCCTTTTTAATTCTTCAACCTTTTTTTTTTCCATTTTCTTGAACTGTATGTTGTAACAGTGTAAAACTTTGGCTAAAATCTGATTACAAATCCAATGTCAATTAAAAATCTTTATTTATCATCTTGTCGATCCTGATGTCAACTTTATGTCCTGAGATAATCAATGTGAAACATTATAAATCAAGATGTTAATTTTATTTTCAGTGTAATGGGCAACTTTATTGACATGATAATCTTTGCTGATCAATTTTGTCAACTTTATTTCCTTGACGATGTCATTTATTTTTCATAGATTTATTTAGTTTAGTTCATTTTTTAATTATCAAATATATATAAATATCACTGTATTTTTATTAAGTCTCGATACCTTACGAGGTAAAAAACTTACAATTTATTATATTATTAATAAAGAGTATAATTTACCAAGTTAAAACTCATCCTTCGCAACCCTTTTACTGTATATATATTATTATTGTTTATTAACTTTGCGTGGTATTGTATTGATTTGTTGTATTGACTTAAGATGTAGTCACAGAAATGTAATCTCTGAAATATCCAGAAGTTACTTGTGTGTAATTGAGAATAATCTTTAACGTTTACTACGAATCTTCGTTGTGATTCCCTAAGTTTAGTCTTAGCATCATTAATCTTTGTGAATTTTATTTGAGTTACAAATTGGACGTAACAATGTGTTCAAATGGATTCGTGAGTACATCAATATAACAAGCATCGATCTTTCTTTTAAAAATCAAATCATGATACCAAATTTCACAGAAGGCTTCTCCTAAATAACAAAAGTTTCAAACAGCTAATTCTGGATCTATAACTTTGCCTTGTGTATTCAAATGTATACCAAAATAGTCGATTGGCAAAGTAATACCAGCGAGTTTACCATACAAGGTTGCTATGTCTCTTTCAATTGAATTATACTTTGACTGACCTGAGGCATGTATTCGTATACTTAAGAAATCCAAATTAAAAATTCTTGAAAAGTTAACAATAGGCTTTGATATTTTTTAAGTGATTAGGATTCTCATCAGGTCCTTCATTTACCAATAAAATCCATATAGATCGAACTATTCCATTTATTTTCAGCATATCATCATATTGAGAATTTGAAGCAAGTCTTTTTAGGTCTTGAATATGCGTAAGCGAAGATGTGTCAAGAGACTATTGGGAACGTATAAAAATTGCCAACTTTCCTGTTCGCAATTCATCATTAGATTTGTTTGGATTTATTATCAAATATACTGCTAAGATTAGGTTTTGTCTGAATCCCATAGGAAAATACTGGTCTGTTATGGTCTTAGATTCGTTAATGGATTGTAATATGCAGAATGTAAAACCTACCGCAGGTACTCCAAGTCCGATCTTTGCTTTGTCATCTTGAGAGATAAAAACTGATATATCAGCAAATGTGCTAGCGAATTGCTTTGCATATTTTACCGATATGAGGTAATAATGGCTATTAGGATATTCAAATATCTCAGTACGTGAAACTCCAGTGACTGTGATTCATACTGAATAGTAATACGCTTTTGCAGCGATTGAGTTTGATTGGTGAGGTAAAAGTTAATTATTTAATGTAATTCTTGCCATGTAAATTTTGTATCTTTCTTTAAGATTTTTATGAAAATTTTCTATAATTTGGACTTTAACAGCTTCTTTCTATCGTTTTGCATCAGCTAATCCAAATTTCATGCAATCGTATATATGTTCATGTAAATCCAGATGTTTGAAGAAAAACAGTGGCTTTCCAGGTTTATCATAGCAGATAACTTCTTAATTTTTTATAAATTGTCTTAATTTTTTTTTTGCAATTTCGGGCATATATCTTTATTAGATTTAACTTTGTTCTGCAAGTTTTCTATTTTTTAGTACATAACATTATGAATTTGAGCATCACTAGTAATATTATAAAACTGCTTGAATTCGTGAATTTTTTTCAGCTATTTGGATTGTATTCGCTACTTTCCTATAAGCTAAAGTATTAGCAGGAATTTCTGGTAGATAGCCTATTGAATTAATGGTAAAAAGGAAGAAAGGATTCGATTTTCTGTAGATATAGAACATTTATATCTTATTGATTGTATGTCATATAAGTTCATTAGGAAAGTTAATATGCAAATAACTCAGATATAAAGATCTGTGCTGTATATTGAAGAAAAATCTATGGAGATCTATTAAAATTTAAATCTTCATTATTATTTAACAGAAATATGTGATGGTATTTAAAATGTAAGATTGTGGCTATCTTTTGTTACGAACTTTACAGAAATCTGCGATAAATTTTAAAATTTCACAATCTTTGGAGTTCTTTTTTTAATATTCAGTTTACTAAATTTAAACTTTTTAGATCAGTTCCTTTTTTGGTTTCGTAGTAATATTAAATTAGACCTTTACTATAAAACCTTTTTTTTTTGCAAAAGTTAAATTTTTTTTTTCTTCGAAAATAATTTTTCTTCAAAGGATTTTTTTTTCTTTGAAGTTCTTTGAACTATCATTTTTATTCGAAGTTTTTTTTTTTGAAATTCTTTGAGCTATCATTATTTTCTTCAAAGTTTTTGAATTATTATTTTTTTTCAGAAGTATTTTTTCTTCGAAGGTATTTTTTTCTTCTTCGTAATTATTTGAAATATCGTTTATTTAAAATATCATTTTTTTTCTTCGAATTATGATATTAATATATTTTAAAACATATATTTATTTAATAAAAATCAATTCTTCTCATTAAATCTTGACACAATATGTATCATTCGCTTAATAGAAAAGATCAGAACTGCATTATACTCTTTGGTATAATACAGTTGTGGATAACCATATGAGAGGTTTGCTAGGAAAATAGGACTCTGAGAAATTTTTATTAAAATTTTAATTTTTATTGCAGTTTAATTTTTGATAATGTTAGATTAAAATGCAACATATATTAAAATTTTAATAAAAAATGCTCAGGGTCCTATTTTCCTAGCAAACTTCCCATATAGTTGAGGCTTGTCTGAATCAATTTCATACCAATGAACAAGGGCGAGTTTATATGACTCTTTAAATAATCCACAAAAGAATTTAAATAGCATCAACATCTTAAAAGATATTAGTCTGTTAAAATATAATGGTGAAAAGTCACAAACAAAATATTTTACTAAATCTTAAGATTACACTTACTTTTCCATATCATGCTTTCTCATCCGATATGTACTGTCCTTGATTTTCTGCAGGAGTTACCATAATATCACTGAACTATTCTTTACCTTGGAATTCACCTGTAGTTCTTAAAATTTTATCACTTTTCAAATAGACTGCATTGTAAACTTTAATACAAAAATCTTCACCTTCGTCTGAAAGTGAAGTTGTATCCAGAAATGTATCTAATGCTGGGATTATTTGCAAAAATCCATCAATGAAATTTTGGTGTGATGGATTCTCAGATTCTTTTAGAGACTTTATTTTTGAGTTGATAGCATCTAAAGGTATTTTCCATAGAACATTTCTTAGTTTTTTGATAAACAATCTTTTTGACAGCAGGATTTAATTCCTTACATTTTACCTGCAGAAATCCGGTATGAAATATAATAGTTTATTTTCACTATAATTTTAAATTGAAATTTATTTAATATTTATCAACTAATAGCATTTATTAGTTGCTGCATAACTTCTTTCCGGTTTGATACACAGTAAGAATTTTTTATATAATATTTATGAAAGGTTTCATAGGTTTCCGTCGATAAACCATTCAAGGATCCGTATTTACAAATTGTAGGAACTAAATAATAAAAGTGAGATACAAAATAATGTCTTACGATTTTCAGTTAGTAAAGTTTAGATCTTACTTGTATGATAACGCCAACTATGTAGTTTAGGAAAACTGCAGTTTAATACAGATAATGAATAGAATATACTCTTAAAATTAGTATACCAATCAATAATTGCATCCTGTTTTAATTGGAAATTTATTAAGTAAATTAAAGTTTCAGTTGTTAATTTTAACTTATTGCTAGTTATAATTACCTCGAAAACTTTTAATTCATTTTCAGTATATGATTCTTTTCTACTCATCATATACATTTTACTAAACTTTGCATAAAGGTTACAAATTTCTTTGCAAGTTAATTGGTTCTACAAATCTTCAAAAAATACCATCTAATGCAAAGAGAGCAATTTTCATTATATGTCAATAATCTGCAGTGATAACTACTTTTAGCTGACCAAACTTATTTATCAATTTTAAGCTAGAAAAAAGTGGAATTTGGTGAAGGCGAATATCAAATTCCTTTTGCAATTCTACTCTTCTGACCTCCTTCAAATTTCCTGAGTGAATTCCAATTAATATTTGAAGAGGTCAAGATCAATATGATACATACGATCAGAAACACAAGCTTCATAAATATTTAGATTTCTGTAAAAAAAAAAATATAATTAATTTGTTATTATTTCAAAATAATTTAAATATTACTTATGGAAATCTCCAGAATGCATTTTTGATAGAATGCACAGAGTATTCCTTTTTTTCACCAATATCAATTATCTGCTGCATATTTTGGTGTGTTCTAAGAGAAGCTGGCTCCAATTCCATTTTATTTAAATTATCTCACAAAACTATACAAGTATGGCATGGTATTTTGCAATGTGCTGACTTGTATGTGGCAGTTACTTCGTCAGCTTCGAGCATATCTGCAAGAAAAAATAAAATTCGTGCAGCAAACATCATCACTCGTCTCTTAATTCCAAAATGTAGCATATCAGGTTTTTCTAATAATGATTAAAGCATAATATCGAAACATTTTTGATAAACTTCATGTTGAAAACTCCAGAAGGTTTCAGTAGTTTTAATTCCAGAGTCCTGAACCTTTGGCAAGAATCTTAAAAAAACCTTTGCTTCTTGAGTATTTCAAAGCCAATTTGAAAGATTTCCAAAAGTTAGAAATACTGGATAGCCTGAAGTCTTGCCAAGTTCATCGAAAGTTATTGCATCTAAATATAAAACAACAGACAATAGGTGGTTTAAAGGTGGAAAAGTCTTCTCTGTTTCTAATTACCAGTCACCTTTGTATGGCTCTCCGAATATTCTTGTTTCACTAATATCATCTTTTTTTAGGCTTCTCTTATGAACAAAATTATCAGCCACTTCTAGTCATTACACTAGTTCTTGAATTGCTCAAAAAAACTGGCTGATAATAAAGTTTAAAATTAACTTTGGAGTGAATCATAATGACCTTTTCTTTGAAGTCTAACGAAGGTGAATTTATTTGATTGAGGTAATCTTTACCGCTTTTAGTTGATTTTGGTAACAGAGACTTTTCTAAATTACTGTACTTATTAAACAATTTAATTATTTTATCTCCAATCTTATTGGAGATGTTACCATCTATTATTAATTTCATGAAATCACGATAAGCATTATTCAGCCATCCTGCAATATTTTCTGGTTTGTTTCTTCTATTAACAGTTTCCAAAGTATCATCTAAGTTTGCTCTCTGAAGATCTTTAAGATCAATGTTAGTTCTTCATTTCCTGATAATTGTAATTCTGCTAATTCTTCTTCTGGTTTCTCAGTATATTCTCTTCTTCTTCCATATGTCATGTTGTACTTCGCAGATTATATCTAAATTCACTATCACTTTCATTTACACTTTTATCTTCAGATATTACATCTTTTATCATATTGTTATTCTCAACAGGTGAATTTTTTAAAGTAGGCAAAGCAGATAAAATTAATGGCAATTGTAATTGTGGCTGTAACTGTGATTGTGATCGTAAAATTATAATTAGTGTATTCTACAAGTTTTCATCATATTCTGATCTTGTTGGTATATTTTCTGATCTTTGTGCTTGTCTTTGCAGTCGTTTATAAGACCTCTGAGAAAGTGATATTCTTCCATTATGTTTAGCATTTGCGTGTTGTGTTAATCTACTAGCTGTCGAAAATTCTCTGTTATAGATTCCGCAACGATATTTAACTATAGTTGAATTTTAAATTTTTCTAGAATAAATGTGAACGATTATGAAGTGATTGATTTACTTGCAGTAATATTATTAATTTGATTTATATAATTTTGTATAATACAGTTATCATATTAACTAATATTTTTAATTTATTTTAATTTATTCGACGAATTGATCATTTTATTAATCATTACACAATTTATTTTAGCATGTTTTTTTAGTATATTTTCATCAATATTTAAACTAGGAATTTCTTCCTTTCTTCATTTTCAATTCGACTTAATTCATTTATTAAAAATTTACATTTGAAAAAAAAACTTAACCTTCAAAAATATATTTTTTTTTCACTTATATCTAAAATTAAAATTTTTCCTTTAATACTCTTTATTTTTATTTTATTTTTTTTCCTTTACTGATTTCTAAATTTGAAAATTTTCCTTCAACATTCTTTAACCTACTATGTCTCTTAATAAAAAACAAAAAAGGAATTCAGCAAGTAAATCATTGTTAGAAATAGCACAATTACAATCTAGAGCTTCACGATCTACTGAAAACAAACTTTCTCAAATGTTGACATGTAGTAAGTAATATTCTAAGTCATGTCAGTATATATACAGTACATGAATTTAGTAATATTTTTAATTTTATCTAAAAAGAAACAAGATCAATGATCGAAGATCTACTTCGACAAGCATAACTAGCAGTTAATGATATCTGACTAAACTCTTTTTTGAAAAATTGTAATTTCTTCAAAAGTTTCGTCTCTTTAATATTTTTATATGAATAAATATAAAATTATTATATTTTTTAATGTATTTTAATTCAAGGAATTTAGATCAAGTTAAATATAATTTTGGAAATTAAGTAAAATAATTTCGTCATTAATAAAAACTAGTTTCGTCATTTCAGTTTCATCAATTTCGTCATATTAAGAAAGGTAATTTCGTCAGATATCACTACTGGCAGTATTCAGAAAAGAACGCATAGTAAATCAACTGAGCTAGCATCTGTTAATATTACTTCAAAAAATACAACTGAAGATGCTTCTTCGAAAAATACAACTGAAGTTACTACTTCAAAAAATACAACTAAAGCTACTACTTTGAAAAATACAACTGAAAAAGCTGCTTCGAAAAATACAACTGATACTAGAGTATTTCACAATTTAGATGATTTAACTCTTAACGATGAGGATTTAATACAAAAGACTATTGTGATAAAAGTGGTGAAGACTCTCGCTATGACATTAGCCAAGAAACTCATAGTAATCTTGGTGACTATGATAATATTGGAGACTTTTACGAAGACTATTATTCACAGACTAGAGATAAAGACAAGTATTCTTACAATATGGCTGAAATTTATCTTACAAAAAGGAATTCAATTATACAATGGAAATAATTAATGAGAAAATTAATTTATTATACAAACTTTGTATATTTATAACCGATACACAATAAGATGAAAAAAAGTCTTTGCAAAAACTCGTCACGATAGATGAGCTCTCCAACAGTTTTTGGAATATAAGTTATTTAATAATATTTAGCAATTTATTTAAATCTTCAAAATACTTATAATTATACATGAAGTCGAAATGGTCGAAATGGTCAATATCATTTCAACCATTGAAGGCTAAAGTCGCGAAATAGTCGAAATGACATCATATCACATGATTTTTCATATTGAGAAAAAACAATA